CCACTGAAAGTAGGTAAAAGGTTATTTCTTAAAGAAACATGTATGAAAAGCAATATGTTCCATTTCTAACACCTTGTCATATCTCTTAAAGACAAAGTACACAGTTTGAGAAATATAGTATTTGCATTTGCCCATAACACTTGGCTGACTGCAAAGCCCAGAGTTTCGAACAAGGAGATCGTAAATTGAGGTTGAGTTTTCAGTCCGGAGACATCGTTGCAGAATAGTTTTAAGTCGTCCAGATATGAGACAATGGAAGCCTTGGGAATGAAAGATCGTGACCGGTTTTAGCAGCTTGGTGAAACACCAAGTGGCCAAACTTAGACTGAAGGGTAGACAGGTTGAACTGGTAGGGTCGCCTTTCCCCAGGAAACACAGCAAAAGTTTGTATATGGAACAGAAGCATACAGATTCCGGAGATTTAAGACCTGGCAGAACGTGTCTGACTTCTTTCGAACAAGAAAGATGGAGCTTTAGAAACCCCCAGTGTCTAGTGAGAACTGAATCACTCCTTTGTTGAACAGGGTCTGGATTTTAGCATCTACAAGTGCCTGGTGGTCCACCACTGAGACCAGGTTCAGTGGGAGTGTTGTCTGTATATGGAAAGAATGGAATTCTATAATGTAATCCCACACTGTCTGCAAAGCCCAAATATCCGAAGACAAACGTTTCCACTTATCTAGATAGTGAGACAATCTCCCAGCATGTGAATTGAATGAGAAATAGTGTTTACGTGTTGGCAGTCTTGCACGTTATTGGGCTCTGTTACCTCTATCACAGTCTGATTTATAGTTAGTAAATGAATGGGAATGGTAGATTGGGAAGAACGAAGGTGAATGGGGTCTTCTTTGACCTGTAGGCCAGAAATAGCTGGAGGCACAAACCCGCTGTCTTTCAGCCCTGCCAAAAAAACATAGGACCTGATGAAACATTTATCTCATTGAAGATTGGGCTTTATTGAGTGTGGTATATAGGTTCATGTGTTTGTGAAGCTCTTAATAGCTCATAATAGGCCTTTGTCCAAGAGACCCAATTCTTTCGACCGAAGATCTGAAAACTTGGCATCTTAATGAAGGAACACCCCCTTTCTTCGTTCAGTGCACAGTGACACATTAGCGTTGCCTAGTAGGCATGTAGAACATAAAGCCCAGTCTCTAATAAAAGTTGGATCCAGAGAACGGTTTTGCATGTGGGCTTCATCCACTAGAAGCAGGAGCTTTGCCAGGGATCCGAGTACATCTAATAGCTAGACTTGAGCCAGTCTCAGACTGCGATCAATACCCTTGCTAGGCTCCCATCCCAATCTTGCGAATTTTGTGTAGACCGTGATATCAAACCCTGGGGTCTTTGCGACCTTATCAGGTAGTGATGGTTTGGGGCATACAACCCATCATCTTTTGTGTACTTTCCGGTCTAGGGATCTAATCCAGTAATCTAAATACTGGGCCAAATGATCAGGAGCCACCATTCAGATGACCTGGAGTGTCGAATGAAATGCGGGTTGAAGAGAGGTTATGCAATCAAATCCAAGAAAATGTCATTGTCTGTACCTGAAGTAGGCGGATGTGTGGAAGATAAATCATGGAAGGCTTACTTGAATGATTTGTGTACATAGGAAGAATCCTCCAAATCCGAACCTTGCCATCCATCTTCATCCTTAGAGACTGAGCGTTCCACCTACCATTCATCCAAAATTGATAATGGTGGGTTAAGAATTGTAGGATTCACCAAAGATTCCAGTCTTTTCTCACACTTAGCAGGTGCCATGCACTTTCGGACATGGGGTACCGAATCTTACACTTTCCAGTAACACTTGCCAGATTGTGTATGTCTGCTTTTTGCAAGCATTAGAATCTTCTGATTCCTCCGACAGGGAAAGTGCCTGAGGGGTTGTCCATTATGGCATAAATAATAGTACTGTGGTACCGAAGGGTCAAAGCAGAAGGAGCGTTAGGAGAATTATATAATTCTCTGTTCAATGCAATGCAGATTATGAAATACTATATATACCTGTAATTGCTGTGGCTCACCCAGTAATAATAAAACCTCCAGGAGTATATCCAGTTATACAGTATATCCAGTATATCCAGGTACAGTGGCACAGACAAAGCGGGTCAATCATAAGAGTTGTAACAGTGACAGACAGATCAAATAGCCAATACTATATAGGCAAGGTAAGGTACCAGGATATGTAATAATTTGATGGGGGGCTCACCCCCTGTAATATTAGTATCGAAAATATTTCAGTAACAGTAGCAGATAGCATAAGCTAGGGTACACTTATAAATCAGGTGGCTCACCCCAGAAGCACATAAATAATAATAATAAATAATTAGGTCAGCTGTAAGATGTGAGAAAGAAGTAATGTAGGGACCTCAACTTCCAATCTGATATGAGGCAGTGTTCATCCGCTTTTAAAAATGTGGTTAATGGCATTTACTGTCCACACATGAAAAGTTGTGCCAAGCAGCAACCAAATACACAGAAGGGTTAATGCTGAGCAGCAATTATGCAAATGGAAACCTGGTAACTGCCTTTGGGGTCAAAGGCCGGTTACAGCCTATCAGATCTAGAGGAGGGGTATTTAGGCCCAGTTCTCATCCTGCTCAGTGCCCTGTCGTGGTTTCCCTTGTGGTTGTCTGAGAGCGAGTTATTGATTCTGGTTATTCTGATTATTTGACTTTGGTATTGTTTTTGACTTCCCTGTTTTCTGGCATCGCTGACTCCTGGCTTTTCCTTATCGTTGTGTCTCTTTCTGTTTCCCTTGACCTCGGCTATTCCTGACTATTTGGTACGTTAGTCCGGCCATTCTAAGGTCCGGTATACGTTACCTATCAGTCCTCTGTGTTACACAATTCTACATGCTGAATTATTCTGTAATCCTGACAAAGAGGTGCTCACCCTCTAATAAGGAAAGCAGTATTATGTACTGTCATAAACTGTAACATAAACAATAAAACTGACAGAAAGCAGTATAAATATCAATACTAGGCTGTGTTTATGAGAAGGGCTCACCCTCTAATAATGAAATCAGTATAATGTACTGAAATAAACTGTGACATAACCAATACAACTGACAGAAATCAGTATAAATATCAATATTAGGCTGTGTTTATGAGAGGGCTCACCCTCTAATAAGGCAGGCAATATTATGTGCTGTAATAAACTGTAACATAGACAGTAAAACTGAGAGTATGCAGTATAAATATCAATGTTGGACTAGCAGTATGAGTGCCCAGACAGCCCCTTTGTGCCTCAGTGTAAAATTCCCGACTTGCAGCATTAAAAATGGCTGAGTATTAGGCGTGGGTGTCTTAAAACTGATGCGGCATAAGACACCTAAAAAAAGGATCCAAAATGGCCACCGGCTACCTGAGGGAGCACTGGAGACGTTCAAGAGCCCAGGAAATCGTAAGAGGCCAGAGGTGAGCCTCTCGAAGTCCTGAGCAGGAAATAAAAACTCAGTCACAAAAAACAATATAATACACAAAACACTAAAATACAGCTGAAATAAAGGAGAAAAATATATACACAAATGGTAAAAGTAATAAAGTAAATAAACAACAAGTTAAATAAAATAAAATATAATAACCAAATATATATAAATATAGATAGAATATAACAAAATATATTAGAATATGCTGATAAATGACAGAAGTAAATATAGATATAAGTAAAAAGGCCACAGCAACCCACAATAAGCAGAAGGTAGTGGTACTCTGACCTATGCTGATGAGGAGCAGCAAAGAAAGAGGATGAGTCATCAGAGAGATGGAGTCGTATTACCTCTGTTGTTTTCTGATTGGTTCTTTCTGTTTCTAGTTAAACTTGTGCTGCTATAGAGTTTTAGTAAAGAAAGTTAAGCAAAATATGAAGCCTCTTGTCATGTAATAAAATTAAACCCTGAGTCCTGTTTACAGGATAGGTAGGGAGTCCCAATACGCAAATCTTGGTAAGATTAAAAGACACAAAGTATTTGTGAAAATAGTAGCAATCTAGTTTACAAGTGATCAATAAAATGTCTAAGCTGCAAGACATGTACAAAGTAACTCTTCTGCTATAAATAATCAAAGTTGAGATGAGAGATTCAAAGGGAGATATTCAGGCTGATGAGAGTAGACTAACAATAAACCAAAACACATGACATCTAAATACCTCAGAGCTTTGGAAATAATCTCTGCAAAGTACTAAACGTAACCATAACAAGTGCCCTGACACAAATCAATAAGACAAAAAAAAATACTTACAAATAATAGACGTAAAATGCATGATGCATATTTTAGTGTCACAAGTGCACCTTCATTCAGGGCTTCAGACATAAATGAAAAACATTTCCTCCACTTAAAGCCTGAAGGATACCACCCATCTATTTAGCTAATTCCTGTGCAAAATGACTTGTGTGAATGATTTTGCAAGTGCCACCCTGTATGACATCACAATTACCTCCTCAGACAAACTGAGATAATTAATGAAAGAATGGAGGTAGAGGTTGAAAAAACACAGCAATTCAAGACCAAACCTTCCTTTGACCAAATGGAATTAAGACATTTAAGACCAGGAAAAATCACAAGTTTATTTGAGACAGTAGGGAATATAGATCAGGAAGAGTTTACAGAAATTTAAAAGAGCAATGACGATAGATACAGATCATTATGCACCATCTGATTGTGAATCATCAGATGTTGATGGGGATTCCACCACAAGTTTTGCAGAGAAATAATGCAACCTCCACCACTAAAAGAATTTTGAAGAAAGGGTTCAGTGTTGTAGGTCATAGCCCAGAAGAAAAACCTAGCAGTGTGCAGACCAGACAAACAAGGCGCGGGGGCAAAAAATATAGATTTTAGAAGGTTCTACTTCATATTGGAGAGCAGTGATGTCCCGAACGGTTCACCGAACGGGTCACGAACGGTTTGCCGAACGGTTTGCGAACGGTTCGGCACGAATGGTTCGCCACGGACTCATCATTGAGTAAACTTTGACCCTGTACCTCACAGTCAGCAGACACTTTCCAGCCAATCAGCAGCAGACCCTCCCTCCCAGACCCTCCCACCTCCTGGACAGCATCCATTTTACATTCATTGTGAAGCTGCATTCTTAGTGAGCTGTCCAGGAGGTGGGAGGGTCTGGGAGGGAGGGTCTGCTGCTGATTGGCTGGAATGTGTCTGCTGACTGTGAGGTACAGGGTCAATGTTTAGTCAATGATGAGTCCGTGGCGAACAGTTCGTGGCGAACCGTTCGCGAACTGTTCAGCGAACCGTTCTGGACATCACTATTGGAGAGTAGTTAATTTAACTGATTTTCCTCTCACCAGTTCAATAGTCTTGAAAAGGGGTTATCATTTGTCCTTATACCTCCTTTTGATACATTTGAGTCGTCAAAAGATATCTACAGTTTTGCCAGAAGGATGACACTATAAATAATTAATTAAATGTACAAGTTGAGAAAAATGCAAATTATTATGAATGTCTACAGAGCCTTATTGAGCTGTTAAAGAGTGATGATCCCTCAGATTCACAGTCACAATATAAATTTCAACGTGAATTTCAAGAAGTACAGAAATATTATGTTTTTAGAACTGATGTGTTTTTAGGACCTTAATTGGAATTTATGATTTTTGATTAGATGTACTTTTGGATTGGACTTTGAATAGTAGGATTATTACTAAGGATGAATATTGGTTTTATGCACACTAAGGCTCCCTTAAATATTGACATACTACTGTCTACCAAAAATACATAAAACCCATGCCATCTGGATGGGAAGACAAAGTCTCTGGGACTCACAATCTAAACATTAGCAGAGAGGCAGTGAGGGAAAAAAGTATTTCATCCACTGCTGATTTTGAACGTTTGTCCTCTGACAAAGAAATGATCAGTCTATAATTTTAATGGTAGGTGTATTTTAACAGTAAGAGACAGAATAACAACAACAAAAATATAGAAAAACGCATGTCAAAAAAGTTATAAATTGATTTGCATATCAATTAGTGAAATAAGTATTTGATCCCCTATCAATCAGCACGGTTTCTGGCTTCCAGGTGTCTTTTATATAGGTAACTAAATGGGAGGGATGGATCAGCGCTGTAGATATCTAATTAGAGGGAGTGAAAAGATCTTTTAAAGGGAGTGCTCCTAATCTCAGCTGGTTACCTGTATAAAAGACACCTGTCCACAGAAGCAAACAATCAATCAGATTCCAAGCTCTCCACCATGGCCAAGACCAAAGAGCTGCCCAAGGATGTCAGGGACAAGATTGTAGACTTACACAAGGCTGGAATGGGCTACAAGACCATCACCAAGCAGCTTGGTGAGAAGGTGACAACAGTCGGTGCGATTATTCACAAATGGAAGAAACACAAAATAACTGTCAGTCTCCCTCGGTCTGATACTCCATGCAAGATTTCACCTCGTGGAGTTTCAATGATCATGAGAACAGTGAGGAATCAGCACAGAACTACATGGGATGATCTTGTTAATGATCTCAAGGCAGCTGGGACCATAGTCACACACTATGCCGTGAAAGACCGAAATCCTGCAGCGCCTGCAAGGTCCCCCTGCTCAAGAAAGCACATGTACAGGCCCATCTAAAGTTTGCCAATGAACATCTGAATGATTCAAAGGAGAACTGGGTGAAAGGGTTGTGGTCAGATGAGACCAAAATCGAGCTCTTTGGAATCAACTCAAATCGCCGTGTTTGGAGAGGAGGAATGCTGCCTATGACCCAAAGAACACTATCCCCACCGTCAAACATGGAGGTGGAAACATTACCTTTGGTGGTATTTTTCTGCTAAGGGGACAGGACAACTGCACCACATCAAAGGGATGATGGACGGCGCCATGTACCATCAAATCTCTGGTGAGAACCTCTTTCCCTCAGCCAGGGCATTGAAAATGGGTCGCAGATGGGTATTTCAGAATGACAATGACCCAAAACACACAGCCAAGGCAACAAAGGAGTGGCTCAAGAAGAAGCACATTAGGATCATGGAGTGGCCTAGCCAGTCTCCAGCCCTTAATCCCTTAGAAAATCTGTGGAGGGAGCTGAAGGTTCGATTTGCCAAATATCAGTCTCAAAACCTTAATGACTTGGAGAGGAACTGCAAAGAAAAGTGGGACAAAATCCAAAACCTGGTGCCCAACTACAAGAAACGTCTGACCTCTATGATTCCCAACAAGGGTTTTGCCACCAAGTACGAAGTCGAAGGGGTCAAATACTTTTCACTCATTGACATGCAAATCAATTTATAACTTTTTTGACATGCGTTTTTCTGGATTTCATGATGATCATTTCTTTGTCAGTGGACAAATGTTCAAAATCAGCAGGGGATCAAATACTTTTTCCCTCACTGTATATTTAAATATATTTCTCAGAGGTTGTGTGAAAAAATTACCATTGTATCTTCATCATAATAAAACAGAAAGTACTACAATTATCCTCAAGTACCACCCATTACTATGTTATGCAGTTTTGATGTGGAGTCTCTGTAGTCCTCCATACCACATGAACAAGAAAGGAATCCACCACCAGATACTACATATTTTGTTGTTAATCTTTTTTGTTTAATAACACATTTTACCACCAACTGACTGGGGACACAATGGGGACATCTTGTGCCCATCCGATGCCAGCCTTCACCTTGGTGGTTTGAAGAAAAAGTTGTTTTTGACAATGAGTTCTCTCACATGTCCAAGTTTATTGTGCTATGGTTTATATATATATATATATATTCATGATGTGTTAATCATTTTGACGGGTATCAAGTAGGAGTTTGAAACTTCTGTTGGTTGCCTTGAAGGAACACTCAAAACACCCAAAACACTTTATCTTGCCAAACTGCTTTATGTTAAAAGGTCGTATCCTCTTTTTATAATTTTACAAAAAAGTACAGATTCCAATAGAAATTGGCACGTTAGTAAATTAACCTAGTTAACCCTCTGATGCCTATTTTCGGATAAGTCTTACTATTTCCTAGTAGTTTAGCTCAGTGGAACTAAAAGCAAGAGGAAGGCTTTGACGAGAACACCTGCCTTACAAAGGCTTGTTATTAATCAGTTGAGACATTATTGCCATTGTGGACAGAACTGCAATACTAAACTATCATTTTTATCAGTTACTTATGAAACGTCTACAGAACTACACGTTATATTAGTTAGAGGGATTGAACTTCTCTATTAGCCTTGATTATTCACATTGTCCTATAACTAGATGGTTATTCCTCTATTTACTTTAGACAGTTGACATGTGAGATTCGCATGAGGCTAATTGTTGACTAAACTCTAAACTCTTCAAAGAGCAAAAAACATTCTAAGGTAAATTGTTATAGTTTTAGTTAACTGAATATATAAAAAAAGTTTAGATTTTATTATTTGCAAATAAAAACGGGACTTGTGTTGTGCATATTTTTTTCATTTATACATTTATTTACAAAAAAGGGAAAAAACATATAATTCACATATAAATAAATATATAGATTCACAAAAAATAGGACATTTTTGTGGAGGAGGAATCAGTGGAAGAAGTGGGGATGAGGAGCATAACTTGAAATGATGAATTCACCATAAGAATTTACTACACTCAGAAAAAGTATTCCTAAAATGTTAATGTACAAATAGAAACAAGGATAGATAGCTAGGTTCTGTTATCTCTCCTCGTTGAATTAAACATACCAGCGGGCAGTGTGTATTTCATATAGTAAAGTAAAGAAAAACCTTACACAAACACATATAATGAAAATATGAATGCCCTATTGAATGAAATGTATTTATATTTCAGTTACACAGTAGGATCACTCCATTTGAGGATTGGAGTTATGATTCTACTGCATACCTGCAATGCATGTGTCTTCCATTTAATAAATCAGTGATCTTTGTTTTACTAAATATATGACTGATGGAGGATTTGGGACACCTGACGTAGTTCATTGATTCCATAAAATATGTAGAAAGTAGAAAGGCAAATGTCAATCACAAACCATGCCCCAAACCTGAACATGACATGGAGTTATTAAGCTCTCTAGGTGACAATTGGAAATTGAAAATCACTTAGATCAGTTTTTGTCACCTTCTTTTATAAAAGAACAGCAGAAAAAGAGATGTGTGAAAGGTCCTTCTTGATTGGCATGAGTCATTTTTGTATCTATATTACTTTGTAAATATTCCTGTATAACTATATATTTATGGACATTTACATGCATCCTAATATATGCACTTATTCTATATATTTTAATCTGCCACCTCGAATTCAGCTTTATAAGAATAAGAATAAACGGTGCCAGCTCTGAGTTTGTCAGATGAATTCATGATGGGTGCCACAAGTCCTTCTGAATTATGTACAAGAAATTTTATTTACAATTAAAGAGCCAAATCACTACACTGCTTCAGGGCTTGGGCAGCCAAACCTATGAAGTCAATAACATTTCTTCTCCCTGTGGAGACTGTGATATTGACACATTTAAGAGGATTAGCCGTTATCTTCTTCCAGAAACAGATAAACATTGTGCCTAGAATCTTGTCTTCCTTCTTTATAGACAGCATTCAGGCCTCTACTAATAATCCGATACCATGTGAAATTATTTGTTTCTCTTTTAATTTGGAAGTTTGCACACTGTGTCTTTGATCAGTTTTTAGAGTTATTCCCTAAACTCTGAATTTTAATGGATTACATCTGAATGTCTCAAATAGCTAATCTGGAAAAATTCTTCAACTCATCCATACTCTCAACTTGGCTATTTATTCTCAGTTTTGACATTCAGATTTCATTTGTTTTTTGCTAGTTTGTTTTTTTCTTCTTTCAGATTTTACAATCTGTTCTTTGGCAATTAACCTTGTATATCTCTTTTAGCTGCTGAAGTGTATATTCTTTATCTTAAAAATGGTTGAGGTAGGCATCACCTGGGAAATGGCAAGTCAGTCCCTGAAATATTGTATTTGCAGCATAAATAAATCGCTATCGTTCATAATATGTATAAATGAAAAAATCTCAGGCACTCACTGTGATTTCTTCAAGGCAGTCTAGCTTGATAAAGACCTGGTTTCAGGTCAAAACGTTGCAATAAACTGCCTTGAAGAAATCACAGTGAGTGCCTGAGATTTTATTAAATTTTTTTCATTTATACAGATTATATGGGGTTTGCTGACCCATGCTCAGTGCACCCTGTGTGTAACTCT